GAAAAAATAAAATGACATTTAAAATCAATAAATTTTGCATTGAAATTATAAAACGACACTTATTTTGAAACAAAAAAATTATTTTAGAGTGACATAATTTGAAACGGAGGGAGTAGTATTAAATTGTGAAATTTTTAAAACTACGAAAAACTCAACCGATAATATCTAAATAGAAGAAATCTCTATTGGAAATGTTTTTAGTGCCGGGACAAAAAATTTACAGTTGTATTATGAAACCATTGTAAAACTGTAAAAAAACTAAAAAAGGAGATTTGACTTCTAGCCTCTGCAATTCCATTTTATATTTTTTTCTTTTGGTAGTGTTTTTGTATTTCTCTTCTTCAACTATTTTTAGTTGTATATGTTGTAGTAATTACTATTCCTACAATAGTAATCTACTATATTAAAATTAAAATACCTTTTATAATCAACCCTTCTTTTTTTGTTTTTGTTTTTATGATACATTTAGTATTATGAAACTTGATATTCATAATTTTCTTTTCCCTACAATCATGCATAATTTATTTAAAATGTAACTTTCCTAATTATAATTATTTTATGTTTAAACTATATATATAGATATATCTTTTTCTCACAACATATCTTTTTCTCACAGAATATAATTTTGTTGTTAACCAATCATGACAAATGTTTATGTTAATCATATTTACATAACATACGTGCCAATCCAAATTAACACAAGGATTAGTTCAATGTAGAACCAATTATTCGGTTCACATGCACTCTCTCCTTCCACTTAACCTTATTTTAAAGCAAATGCATATTATGACAATATCTAAACCTTATTACATATGTTGTTCCGTAAATAGTTTACAAACACTAAAAATAATTTACTGTTAACATATTTTGTTTTAGAATTTTGAATTTTTCCAAATACAATACAAACTCTAAATATTTCCTCTTCACTTTTATAATTTTGAATGGATATTCAAATTGAACCTGCTATTATCCAAATTTAAAATTTTGAACTCGAAGATTTTAAAATATATTTATATGTTGATTTGTGTTTATATAACTTAAACGGATATTCAAATTGAAGAGACAATTACCTAAATCTAAAATGAACTATAATTTATAAATACCCGAATGAGATTTAAATTTCTAATCCTATTACATTGTAGTGTGAATGCAATTATTATATTATTATATTTTAAAATATCTAAATATTTATTTTAAAATAAATATTCGGACGTTCGAGTCAAAGTATAGTCATTTTTTTATATAAGTATACAGTCATGCTCAATTTGTTCGAAAAATAAAATATTAGACACGGTAATTTGGGTTCATCAAGTGTGTGGAATAATAACCACCTAAATGTAGTGTTTGGTGGCACCAGAGTATCGTTTTGCATGACATCTAAGAACAACTTTAACGGTAAGTATTCAAATAAATTTCTCAATTACTATTTTAATACAATTTGTTTATATAATTTTATTTTTAAAAAGATTTAAAGTCTTTATAAGTGGGGAAATGGTATCAAGATTTAAAGTTTTAGTGGGTTTGTCATAGATTTTCAAATGAAAATTCCAATTCATTCTCTTTATTGTATCTTCTTAAATTTTAATGGTGAGATATTCACATAAAATAAACTCAATAGATATGTTCTAAAAGTTTGAGGCACTGATATGCACAACGGTTGTTTATGTTTATGTGTGTCAACAAAGATGCTATAATATCATGATTAATCTGGGTTTTTAGAGTGGGATTCTTAGTTTCAGATAAGTTGTTTTTTAACTAAAAAAACTAAGAAGATATACGAACCAGTTCTCAGCCAAAAATGTAACAAAAAAAAGAAAAAAAATGTTAAATCATGAATTAAAAATTTCAAATTAAAAATTTCAAATTAAAAATTTAGGTTAATCTGTTTTAAGAAGCTTGAGACAAGAATAATTTAGGACATAATAAATGGGAGTCTTTAGTGAATTTCTTAGGTAGTGGACTCTATTTTTCTTATCAAAACCAATCTCAAAAGTCATAAATTAAAAAATGACTGTGGAGGATTTTTTACATTGTTTGTGGATGCCTACGAAATATAGCGATCCGTGATTAGTTCTTTTTTAATAGATAATTAGATTTTTACCCGCGCTTTAAAAGCGCGGGATTCTTTTCGGTTGACATATTCACACGTAAACAACAATTTTTTACATGATTTATATATTCTAACTATCATGTATTTATATTTAGTTTGACATAGTTTTTAGGTCTTAGATAAGTTAACATTTTGACTTTGAAAGTAAATTTTGGTAAGTGCTATATAAAACAAATGTTTAGTTATATCAGAGCATCATTAGTGGTCATTTTTGGAAAGAGTACTTCACAAAATAAAATAATAAAATAAGTAATAGTATGAAAGAGAAGAAGAAAAAGATCACATACGTTTGTTTGTTCATAAGGAGACCTGAGCAAACAGTAAGAAACAAATTTCACATCTGTCACTTTTCAATTTGTGTAATTCTTTTTAAATTATTAAATTAAATGAAATAAAATATTGTGTTAAAATATTAATATAAATGCATTTAACTTGTATTATAATGCAAAAAAATATTATTTAAAAATATAATGTTGTTCTATGTCAATATATAAATATTAGATATTTTATGTTTAAAATAAATTAAGTAAGGTATAATATAGCTATATATATAATATATAGTTAATAAATATTTTTTTCACTTTTTTATATGTACAAAATAATTTATCGGTTTAGAATTAGAGATGGATTATACCAAAGCTTGAATTGTTGCTTAAATGATGGACATTCATAGCATGTATCCTCGTGAAATATTAGATAAATGGTATATTTGATATGAAAGACTAAATAATGTGACTGTATATATATGTACCAAAATAAATATTCGATAAATGGTATATTTGATATGAAAGACTAAATAATGTGACTGTATATGTACCAAATAATGTGACTATATACTATTTTTATGTTTAATGTGACCATATACTATTTGATATGAAAGAAAAAATAATGTGACTATATATGTACCAAAATAATGTGACTATATACTATTTTCCGGTAACATGATCTTCTAAGTCTTTGACTGACTTGTCTCGCTAATCCCTGATCAGCATTTCCAATTCATCAGTCATTACAATTAATCATTTGGTTTAACATCTAACACCAAATAAAATTAAAAGTCACAAGCTTAGATTTATAACTTGTGTAGTTCATAAATTAAATTAAACACCGATGTCTAATGATACGAAAAACATTGCCACATTGCTTCAAACAAACACACATGTCTAATAAATTTTCAGGGAGAGGAGAATTCATCGAAAGGTTTGACTTTGGTCTCACCATCCACTGAAAATTATACAACGTTTCTGTTTCTTTCTCAAAAGCCTCCAGAAACTACACAAATAATCAAAATATTCATAATTGTTTACGCATCAAACATTGTAAAACATAATAATCCATTAGCAGAAGATTAAATAAATAGGAAAATATATGATAGAATAAGAATGATACTCGATTAGAGTCTCATCAAAAGAAACTCATAGATAATTCAATTTACAGCACATAACCTCCTATAACTTAAGACATACTGTTTTGAACCAGATTTACTTAAAGCATGCATAGTCAAACGGAAGCAGCAAGAGATATATTTAGACTAAGTCCGCTATGGCTAATAAATTCTTCCGACAAAAATTAAGAAGAAACCTGGTGTCATCTAATTCCTACATCATAATTTCCACTGACAACAACAGTTTCTTAATCTGGGTGAGCTAAGAGAAAAAGGCTCCACACTTATGTTTATAATTGATTTTGGTTCTTCCTAATAAGGAAAAAAAAAATTAGTGAGAAAACAAAATAATGTGATAATATAATTCAATTAGAAAACAAACTAATTCTGTTAACTACTTATTTACGAGAAATCGTTGTACTACTTTTAAAAAATTTATAATAAAAAGACTCAATTGTTTTATTAAAAAACTGTAATTCTCAGTAAAAAAACTGAAAACATGTAAAGAACAAAGAAACAAAGGTTATTATTTATCCCCAAATGTTGATATTTGAGCGATTGATTGATAAACACCATTATTTCGTGATTTTAAATTGTCTGAGCAATGCCATTATCTTGTTGATCATAAACCTACACATGATTAGATCACACATGTTAAACTTAGTTTATGGAAGCCAAAAACAAAAACATATCAAAGACTAAAAACATATGAAAGCTTAAAAATAAAGGTATGAACGAACTAATAAGATGACACAATCTTATATAGTGAGTAGGAGAAGATGTGTCGTTGTGATTGTTATATAAATTTTCGGCAATAAAAATTTCTTTTATTTTGGAAATTAAAGTAAACCTCAAAAAATATTCTCCGTATAATAAGTAAGATTTTTTCTTTTTGAATTTGTTTATTAAAAACGTGAGTTCAATATTATATGCAAAATATGGAAAAGGAGAATATGCCAGAGTATTTAATAAAGGAAAATATATAAAGTAATTGATTTTTGATTAATTAAGAATATAATTCACAAATATAATAATGGCATGATATTGTAATTATCAAAGAAAACTAAGGGCAAAATCCTAAGAGGGATTCTGCTTTAATAGTATAGATTAAAAAGTTTGTCTAAATTAACGATAAATTAACGATAATGATGGTATTATCGGTCAAGCACTGCAAATGAAGTTCTTAAATAGTTAAAATCAAATGCTTAAACCATTAAAATAGTGACACGTGGGTGGAGAAGTTGAAGAGAGTATCTTCCGGGTGTTAATTTGAGGACCCATCACTGTTTTTTCTCTAATTTTCTCATTTATTTCTTTTTTTTTGTAATATTTAGATACCTAGTTACATCCCACCATTGGACATGGGTACCACTGTTATTTGTTTGTGAGTGTAATGATGTAAACACAATTGAAAATCGTGCCATAACTCGTTACTCATTTTATTATTCCATTTTATTGATGAGAAACATGCCATATACATTTTTATTTGAAACACAACTGTCATTGATCAAATTTTAAGGATTACAAAAGCAAGAAGAATTAAACATCTTCTTAGAAACCAAACATAAGATACAATATTTTCAAAAAAAAAAACATAAGATACAATAGCAAAGCCAAATAAACATGATAGTTTTCATATGAAGTAGACAGCAAATTCAACACAAAGCTTAAATGCGTCGATAAAGTAAACAGAAACACGTCATGGATCCCAACCACATATGGATCTTACAACTGAAATGAGGACCAAATATTCTTATTCTTACTTCAAAGGGGAATAAGATTGACGAACAAAGAGGTGATATGCTCCTTGAATCTTCCGTCTGAATTAGTGTACTCTTCCCCGCATCTGTAGCTGAAAGCTACAATTCTTCCAATATCAACGACTCGTTTTAGGATCTCGCGCGGCAATGTAGTTGCTTCTTTCAAGAATTCCTCGTTCACAATCTTGTCCAAGTCCCTAACCATTTTCTTAAGCTCTGAAAACGCTTCCTCCTCTGTAACTCCGTACTGCTTCATATAATAGTTGATGGAATTCGCTTTATACCCTCTGCTCATATCGTCCTGTTAAACATCAGATGTATTACTTCTCTCATGTGTAAAGTGTATAACACATGTTCATTAGCCAAACAAGAAGAAATATTGATCATTGCACTGTGATTACCTCGAAACCACTCATATCATTCACCAGACGACCTCTTCTAGCATGAGCCTTAATGTATTTCGGTCTGGATTCTAACCATTTATAACCTTCTTCCCTAGCAGTTTCTCCTAGCCCAAGAAAAGTGTCTGCTATAGATACTAGCACAGTAACTTCCTCTCCCCCAATATCCAAGTATTCATCAAAAGCAGGCACCACATCTGTTTGTGCCCATTCCTCGAAGCAAAGGAGTGCTCTTAGGTAGATCTTGAACTGCTTATTTAATAGGAGCATTATAAAAACTTTAATGTCTACTACACTACACTACACTACTGTATTTATTTATGATCTTGGCCACTGAAAGGTATTTATATACTCGTATGTGTTGCTACCTTTGACCAAAAAAAAAAAAAAAAAAACACATATGTGTTACCTCTTGAAGTAAACCTTGCACATTAAATGACAATCCTTCTTCAGATATGCCCTCGCGCTCACTCTCTTTAAAAACATTCCAAGCAAACTTGAAAACGGGTTGCATATATTTCGGTAAACTGTCTTTGCAATCGGGAGCCCACCTGTGTACACATTTCGAGATGTAAAAACATTATGCAGTTTTGATTTGAAAGGGAGTACTCTTATGTAAAAACAGTCTTTTTTTTTTTAGTTAAATTTAGGGTGAATTTGTTGGATAATCATAGTGGGAAAAAAATAAGAATATAGCCATGCATTGATAAATGTGATAATTTGACAAGAAAATAGACCAATTCTCGGGGCGTGACTATTTGTGAATGCAGTGTATAATATTATCATATACTATACTATACTTTACAAATAGATACTAAAGAAAAATCAAGTCACAACAATAACACATTACAAAAAAAAAGAGAAAGAAGAGAGAAAATCCCATGGAAAAAAAAAGAAAGACACAAAAGAAGAAATAAAAAAATTGTTATCTTGCATATAAAGAAAAAAAAAGTGAGAGATAGAGAGAAGGAGATGATATTATATATTATTTCTTTATTCTATATTTCTAAATAGAATGAAACACAACAAAATTATGTCTCATTTGAAAATAAAATCTGATTATACTATATGTATTTGTATAAAAATATAGATTTAAAGTCGTGTTTATGGAATATTGTAAAAAAATATAAAATATATGTTTGTTTTGAAAATTTCAAAACATATTATGTGTAGAAAAATGTATGTTTTTATTATGTGAAATACATAGTTCAATAATTATTTTAACAAAAATTAAAAATATTTAAAAGTAGAAAGGGAAAACATATTTGTAAGAAGAAGAAAGCCTAAATTTTCTTATGGTTATATGGTTAATTTGATGGGTTGTTATAGACATGCACTCAAGTTTCTCTTAAATTCAACATTCAATTAACAAAAAAATGATTTTCATACTAGGACTGTTCACTTTTAACACTAACAGATAGCACTCGGGTATAGCACCTTTATAAAGATTTTCATACTAGGATTGTTCACTTTTAACACTAATAGATAGCACTCGGGTATAGCACCTTTATAAAATCTTTACATCCTTTGGGCATACACTAGAAATTAAGCTAATGTGTACTTTTTATTCTTAAATGTCCCAAAAGAGATATATAGATATAGTCATTTTCGATTTCATTAATGTTTTGTATTATGTTCCACTAGGATTTTACTTTCTTTCATAGTTGGAGTGCCTTTATGAATTCTCTCATATAAAAATAGAAAAAGGAGTGATGATACCTTTCAACGCAATGAACAAGATCTGCAACTTCGGAAAGAGACGCATATCTATCACATGTATCGTCAATGATGGTGTAGAGAGTGCTAAACCTACAAATTGCAGCTCTCGCTCGTGAATATCGTGGCTCGAAATATATGGTTACTGCAAATATATAGCACTCGATCATCCTGTCCCTAAAATAAGGAGGGAGTTTAGATGCAAAATCATACTGCTTCCACCATCTGTAAAAAAACACGAGATTGGCTATTTTTTAGCTCGTAAAGTGTGATTATTTTCAAAACAAATAGCTAAAAAAAAAATCGACATATACTTGGTGAGAGTTTTTAGTTCTTGAATCCAGGTCAGCTGCAAGAACCTAAAGTTGATCTTAGAAAATTTCAGGAGCATCTTGTCGTGACATTCTTCTTGTTCATAGAATGATATGTATTCCCTCGCGAACAACATTTCGGCATTAAAATGCTGGGGCATGGAAAGAGCATTACGTATACGCACTGAGATATGAGGACTTGTTGCTTTAGTTGTAGCTATCGACTCCAAGTTTATTTCCGTGAAGCTCAAAGCTTCGTCCAATATATAATCTGTTGTTGTCCCCAAGTGGGCGGCTTCATACAAGCTCACCATACCCTTGGCATCCTCGATTAGACTTTCCTTAAACTTTCCGTTTTCCCCTTTGAATCTTTCAAACACGTCTGTATCTCCAATAGAAACATCTTGTTATCATAATTTTATATTAATGGAAGAAAATAGTTGTACAAACATCAATCGAAATAAACAAAACCAGGCTGGAGTCTCTTTACCGGAAGACATGTTGTAACCGTATGTCCTGAAAACCCAGAAGATTGTACATACCGTGTACAAGTCATTTTCACCGGCCAACATAGCTTCTAGCTTTCCAAAACTTTCTTTTAGACACTCCTCGATTTCGTCCTCGAACAGATACATCAGACCTAGGCTCACTAGCAAATATATTATAAGGATTCTCTTCTTAGTCGAGTCCGCGCATTGGGAAGATATCATCATGCCACCCACCACTGGCTTTAGTGCCTCAATCTCTCTCCCAAGCGCGTCCATTTCCTAAGAAATAAGATATGTGATAGCATCCATTGATCTCTTATATATATATATATATATATATATAATATCTTTAAACTTACCGATGCATCCACATGAGCAGACAGGAAGTGATCACCCCATTTAGAAGGTGGAATCTTTTTAAACAGGCGTTCACTTGCTTGACCTTCACATCTTTGCGCGCGAAGGAAAGGCCTTCAAGGGAAAAAGCTTCGGAGGCTTGCTTGGAAAAGATATCAGGGGCAAGGCAAAGAGTTTGCTTGCTAAGATCATTTCAGTTCGAGAACAAAGAGAGAGTTGGGAGTTATATGTTGGTACAACATTTGCTATGCTTTCCATTCTGAAGGCCAGTGATATTGAAGCTATTTTCAAAACTAGATTTTATAGGCACATTTTGATGCTTGAACCCATAAAAGAATAGTTTGCTTGGCTTTTTGTTTTTGTTTTTTGTTTTTTTTGTCACAGTTATAGTTTGCTTGGCTTAACACTAACATTTGGTGCTTGTAGGTCATGTGGTGATTACAAAATCAGTAAAAAGATTATCAAGCCTCCGAAAATTAATGCACCATCATGGTCAGTAAACAAGATTTTTAAACTTACGAAAAATCAAAGCACCGCCCAGAATGCGACCACAGACTGAGTGAACGGGCATTAGAAGCCTATTAGCCATGAACGATCAGTGTGTTACAAAATTCTTTTGATTTATTGAATACTAAAATATGGCTTAATCGTAATTGCCAATCATCAAAACCTGGTCGCTTGCCGCCAATCATAGTGATATAAATCCGCGTTTAGTCTTTGTTTGACAAATTGATCGATCAATCTAACATTACGATCGCTCGATCTCACTTCTCTGAGTCGCGAGTTCGATATCAATATGTGCTTCTCTGTCGCGGTGATGTGTGTTCGTGGCTTCTGGCTACCAGTCACAAGCCCACGATCTAACTCCAATTGTCGAGGTCTCCTTAGTTAAGATCAAAATCTTAACTATTAAAGCATGATCCTATTTTCATAATTTAGGATTTTGCCCTTAATTTTTTATCATATTTCCAAGACAATGCACTTCTTATTTCTAAATTTGGTTACTAATCAATATCATTTAATACAAAAAATTAAACAACTTGCTAAATAAAAGTACAACATATGGTAACTATATATATGACATGTCGATTATTCCTAGAATTATTAAGTTTGACAATAATCATTATTATTTAATGCGATTCTGGAAAATATAAATATATTTAAAACGAATTTACAAAAAAAAAATGATAAATATGAGTTTTCTTATGAATCGTAGGTATTCATTAAATTACTTAATATTTAGCTAATTTAAAAGATTGCAATTTTTAAATTATTTAATACTTAACGAAAACTATTTTAAAAATAGCATATATATATATATACACATTTATATATATACAATCAAATCTAATTTAAAATTTATTGAATATTTTCAAATATAGGTTAGAAATTATTTTGTATAATTATTTGATTTCGTTTGATCTATGTAAAGGGTGGTTCACTTTCACAATGTAAATTTTCACGTGTATAATTTTTTTACTAATTTTTTGTTTATGGTTTTTAACTTAATTTATATTATTTTGAACACACTAAGCATGACAACCGTAGATACTAAAATTTTTATACATGAATTACTTGATTTAATTTTTTATTTTGTTCAAAACAATAAATCTAAATATTGTTTTCAATTTTTAGAAATGAATTTGACATTTTTTAAGAAAAATAAAATACAAATATATTTTTGTAAAAATAAATGATTTTAGTCACTCAAAATAAATCATAATCGGTTTAAATAGATGACCAATACAATTACATGAATTTAAATGAATAAATTTTTTTACTTAAAAATAAATGAGTTCGAACGGTCGAGACGTAAATATATTCATCAAATATGAGACGGAATTAAATAAGGTAGATCTATTATTTTATCAATCTTAAAAAAGCATTTGATGATTTTTTATTAAATATTTACAATATATAATATCCCAGTGTTTTTAAAACGCAAACCAAAATCTAGTTTACATATGAAATCAAGAAAAAAACTCTTTTCAGACCATCTAACATGATCTCTTATTGTTGAATCCTATTCAGTCATTGACTCAATAAAATTTAAGAAATTTTCATTTTCATCTCCTCATAACCTTTCGTTTCTCCGAAAATGTTTTTTTAAAATATTTTAGCAAGTACTTTACCAACGAAAATTTCTAATTATCATGTATTTCCAGTGAGTCTCGTCTGGGTATGCGTCCTTGGATTGCTGTTACATATTCACCTCATGTCTCTCTTTGTTAACGTCTTGATTAATATGCTTATCAATTGTTTTGTTTTTTCTGCGGCCTCAATTCAAGTTCCATCCCAATTCATGCATTTATGTGCTCATGATTAGTCTAGTGGTACCTTAACATTTCAAACATATTTTTCAAATTAATGAATCATTAGTGCCATCTGACTAAGATTTTGTCTCAAGTTAACAACTTACATAAAAAGAAATTATAAAATCTATACTATTAAAAGGGAAGGAGTTTTAAAAAATCTACTTATAACAAGTTGTTGGACCCTTTCATTAACTAACTATTTATTTGGTCTTACCTTTTTTTTTTGTTACCTAATATTTCCTAATATTTTTCTCTAACTATATTGACCAAAGTTAATGCTCTCTAACTATACAACGTTACTTTGAAATCTATACAATATTTTTACATAAATTAGTTCATTATACTACTTCATATAAATATATTATAACATATCATTTTCTTTAACCGTGTCTTATGAATGTCGTGACCAAAACGTTAATAAGTTATCCCAATAAACAAAAATTATATTATCAGAACTGTGTCTATAACAAACAAAAAGCTTCTTTAAAAATGCTCGATTAATTGTGAAATTCAGTTTAGTTTTGATTTTTCAATTTGGTATGGTTTGATTCGCGGCTCCAAATAAATATGTCCAAACCTATATATTATCTTATATAGAAAGCCACTTTAAAAGAATTTATATATTCCAACGGGTTTAAAATATCTATGTTCCAGCGGGTTTAAATTTTTTTATATTCCAACGGATTTAAAAATGTCAATGTTTTAGCGGGTTTAAAAATATCTATGTTCCCACAAAAATGCTCGATTATTTGTGAAATTCAGTTCAATTTTTTGGTTTTGGTTTTTCAATTTGGTATGGTTCCGTTCGCGGCTCTGAATAAATATGTCCAAACCTATACACCTTCTTATATAGAAATTCACTTTAAAAGAATTTATATATTCCAAAGGGTCAAAAATGTTTATGTTCCAGCGGGTTTGAAAATGCTCGATTATTTGTAACATTCCTTTCAACTTTAGTTTTTGTTTTTCAATTTGGTACGGTTTGGTTCACGGATCCGAATAAATATGTCTAAACATATACAATACCTTATATAAAATTCAAAATAATGGAATTTATATATTTTCGGAAACAAATCCGCGCTTTTTAAGCGCGGATCAAAATCTAGTATGCTTATTAATAATAGAGAAGATAAATTAAAGAATAACCTTTTATTTAAATATTTATTTACATCAATGCCATGCTGACGTGGCGGTTCTACGGTCCTTCTCAGACTATATTTAAATGTAATTTTTCTTTACTAGATTAATTACAGATTTTGTTATTGGTATCACACAAAATACAATTATGCATATAAATCATTCGAACTTATTTATGGAAATAACTACAAATGTTTTGGGCCACCATGACATCAGCTAGTAACAAATGTTTTTGGATTCACACAATATCTATAAACTACAATCAATAAATTTAAGAGTAAATTAGGTCAAAAACCATGAAAGAAGCTCAAATTAAGAGTATACCAATAACAGTACGTGACTCAAAAAGTTGTAGAGATTGGTATATGGTTGATGACAGAAATGTCCTTCCTATTTGCATTTCAACTTCCGTGGACTTAGGTGTGTAGGGTTTATAGGTGTAGAAGATTTCTTTAGATTTTATTTATATTTTGTTTAGATATTGTTTAGATATTAGATGATATTATTATTTTGCATTGGTAAACACACTTAAATAGTGTTAACTGCAGAAACCTTCTTGTCCACGCAATTTCTGACGCAAGCGGTGCGTGGGAAAAACAAATCAAGGTCAAAGATTTACCTCCTTTAATTACAGAAAATGTGTATATAGATGTGTATTTGTACGTCCTCCACTTTGGGGCTGTCTAAATCATGAACCCTATACCATCCTCCACTTTGTGTTAAAGAGATCATCCTAAGCCCTAAACCAATGAACAATCTTGGTAGACTAGACCAGATCACGTTTGTTCAGTACAATGAAGGTGAGTTGCTAACATGGACACACAAATGTCTGTAACTGGGATTGGACGGTTACTTGTGGTAGTGACCATCCACACATACATATGTGTACACTCTGGATTGGACGGTTATTGGTCCTAGTAACCATCCACAAATACTAATAGTAAGTTTTTTCACAATGACTACCAATTTTATCAGCGTGTATAAACTAAAGATTAATAAATAGATGAGCCGGTTAACAATATGAAAGACATCCAAACATAATATTAACGGTCCATAATTTTAATATCCTAGTGATGTATATGAATTTATTTCTGGAAGCCCGACTCCTATACACGAAAACATATACCCTAAACTCTAACCCCTAAACCTCGACCATAAACCCTAACTCAAAAACATTAAACCTAAGATCTAAATCCTAAACCCTATGTCGTAAACCCTAAATCCTAAACCATAACCCTTAACCTCTGAACCCTAAACCCTTACACTAAAACGTAAATCCTAAACAATATACTCACATCCCACATGATAAACCCTTGAACCCCATACGCTGGACCGATGCACACAGATTCATTAAAATGAAGTTGGCTAGCTAAATAATTGCTTGTACGACTATTTACATTGTTGGAGTCTATTTGGATGTTTACATGAAAGATATCAGTTGTAGTATTTACCTTTACATGGTTACTAACCAGCTAAGTATTTGTTTAGAGGCTATTTACTTTGTTGGATACCTCTTTGGATGTTTAGATAGACAATATCTTTGGACTGATTTTATCTTAATAAGATTACAAACTGTAGTTATACAAGTGCCTAACCGGCTAAATCATTTCTTGTACGGCTATTTACATTGTTGGAGTCTATTTGGATGTTTACATGAAAGATGTTTAAATAATTGCTTGTACGGCTATTTACATGGGTTCACGGATCCATAGGGGGGAGTTTTTGTTTAGTTTTGATCGCTTGGGAAGGATTTATTTGGGATTTCCATTAAATGGGGAAGGGTATGAAGATTAGTGGAGGATAT